ATCCGGAGGGAGGGGACACCCGCGCGCTGGGTGTGAGGTGGGGTTGTTCTCCTGACGTCGCCCCAGCAATTAATTAGTTGCATACATTAACTATTAAATATGTTAAAATTCCATCTCTCCTTTTCTGCAAGGGCTGAAGTGATGTTAATCTCTACCAGGATCGTAAAGTCTGGTCACAAAACTGACCCCATAGTAGGGAGACAGAGGTGTTCTCTGAATGAAAGCTTAGATAGCCATATTTCATAAAATAACTTTTTCCTTTCCCTTCTTCTCAGGTCAGGCTGCAAACCCAGCCCAAGCCGCAGCCGGGTCAGCCTCCGCTCTATTCTGGGACCTTTGACTGCTTCAGAAAGACTCTGGTTGGAGAGGTACTGTGTTAGCGTGTCGCCGGCGGCGCCTGCCAAAAATGTCAGTTGTTCCTGTACGTCGCAGGAAAGGAATCGCGTGGGAATGTCGTCCCCTGGAGACTGTACCGTTCTTTGGCCATCGGTTGAATTGATTCTAACTAAAATTTTTAAGCAATTGCAAAACTTGGAGAATATTTAGCATCCACGTGCTCCAGGTGCCCATCTCTTTGTTTTGCGAAGAAATGCTATTGGTTGAAGATGGCATAATAATAACGCCTGAAGTTAAAGGCTGGAGTGAATATTGGCAGCAGTTTGCTGGCTTTGTGGTTGTAGTCAGTGGAATCTTGCTGTCTTTGGTATTTGGAGTTGTCTCTGGAAGTCCTAAAATAGGCAATGACGTTTGTTGATACAAGCAGTACTTCTGCTTTCTTCTATAATGAGAGGGCGGAGGAGTATTAGTTTGAGTTAATAGATTTTTTTTCCGTTATTATTTTGAGAACAGAGGGTCAACTGTAGTAGTTTCGTTCAGTCTTCTTCAGAGGCTGACAGCAGTTTTCGCTCCTGAATCAGCCATATCATGTGATTGCACTGTAGTCTATTTTGGTTTCAGAAAGGCACGTAGCCTTGGTTTGAAGACTTTTAAGTGACAGAGAATCCAGTTTTCTGCTTCGTAAGTTTTCCCAGCAGCTATTTACCATTTGGAAACAATGGCTGTAAAGCCCAACTCTTTGTTTACTAGTCTGATGTCTGATTTCTAACCACTGGATCTTGTTAGGTAACTCTCTGTGAAATGAAAGATCTGTCTCGTATCTGAAATCTACTTTCATGGTGGTATTAACAGGTTGTTATATAACCAAAGTAAATCTTGCTTTCCTAGTCTCTCCCACAAAGTGCTGCAATGCTTTGCTAGCTCTGAATCCCCTGTGGTTTTTAACACCCCTGCTGAAGCACGCACGTCAGAGCTGAACCGTAATAATAGCCTTGTGATGTGAAGTTCAAAAGTAATGCTGCCTCTCTCCTCCTACTCAATACTCATCAGTTCCTATAAGGAAAACTATTAAAACCTCCCTGCCAAGGCCTTTTGTTTCCCACTGCTCACGGGAAGAACGAGCAGGGGTGGCTGATCTTTGTCAGCCGGATACAATTTCATTAGAGTCAGTTGTGCCTGTAAGCGTACAGACACGTACTGGGGTACACTGATTTATGTGAGGGGGAAACGAAGGGGCGGATGGACCAGCAAATATTTGATTTGTGCATCTAGCCTTTGTCTAGAAAGAGAACTCTTTTTTTTATTAGAGAAAGTTCAGTTCAAAGGCAAGATAAATAAAATAAATGCAACTGCTGGGGTCTGTATTAGAATTTTTCATGTCTGTAGTCTGATGAAGGGAAATGTCAGGAATGTAAAGTTACATAGTGATAAAGTTTTGACTTAGGGAAGGAAAGAAAAAATATTTTTTCTCTTGAGGTCATTCCAGGTTGAGTTCGTGTGGGGAGTGAAGTAGTTCAGGTTAGCCTTCCTGGTTCTTCGTATTCTGAAGAGTGAACTCCATTCAGCGTTCTCAGGCTCAGTGTCAGGATTTTGCACTACTGCGTTTGATGATCTATTAATAAAACACCTGTGCATTTCTGTGTGTATCTGAGAGAAGACTTTTGACATAGTCTATTAGGACTATTATTTAGGTGGCTTTTAACTTAGCTTCCTCATACCTGAGATGTAAGGATGAACAGTATTGGAACAGAAGGGTATAAGCGGTGCCAGTGTTTTCTAGGAAGAATAGCTTTCCTCTGCAACAGGTCCTGAGCCTCAGCTAAACACATATAATTGCAAATGAGCAATAGACCCTGTTGTTCCTCTCATTGATTTGACTGGCTGACTGATACTATCACAGAATCACAGAATGTTCGGGGTTGGAAGGGACCTCTGTGG